TTGGATTGTGATCTCAACACACACCGAAACTCCAACTCAAAGAAGGAAAAAACAACTCTGGCCGATCGGAATGGGACATCAACACGAGCCGTAACTCAACAAAGACACACACCTCACCGCCACCAAACCACCACGAACTAGACACTACACTACACCGCCACCCCACGAAAAACAAAGCCGTCAAGACGAAATCGCCCTCATCACTGCTTGCACCGTCGTTACCGACGATGTCTCACACTAAGTAGCCCGCTGCTAAGCAGGGCTAGCCGTTGTGTTCCGCTGGAAGCCGTGTAGCCCATCCACAATCAGATCCGCTTGCGCCATCTCTGAAGACGTTGTCCCACACCTGAGTTGCCACTATAAAGCTAGCTACTGTTTTTTAGTTGATGTGGGCTTCTTACTATTTGTTTTCCTTAACCTCCTTCAGCCAAACGTAGATTTGTTTAGTATGATACATGAAAACTCTACAGCAAGATCTTCCAAGTGTTGTTTCTTTGTGCTGACGCATTTCAGGTCCTGAGTCAAGTGCTGTTTTGCTTTAATTCTCCATTCAGTTTCTTGTCCATATAACACATTATATTTATCTAGGCAATGAAAAAGGTACGGGGTTCAACCCTCGCTTCTCCGATCATTATTTTTTTTATTATTCTATTCCAAGATTAAATCAATTATAAAATAATATGTAGTGGCAACATGAACAAAATTGGTGATGTAGCTCAACTGATAGAGCATTTATCTATACATGAAAAAAGCTATGAGATTCAACTCCTTGCATCTCCAATTATTACTTTTTTATTAACCTATCTTCCAAGATTAAATCAAATTTAAAATAATCTGTAGTGGCTAAATGAATAAAATTGGGGATGTAGCTCAATTGGTAGAGCATTTTTTATCTATGCAGGAAAAGGTATGGGTTCAACACCTTGCATCTCCAATTATTATTTTATTATTAACCTATCTTCCAAGATCAAATAAATTTAAAATAATTTGTAGGGGCAACTTGAACAAAATCGGGGATGTAGCTTAACTGGTAGAGCTTTTGTTTGTGCATGAGAAAAAAGGTATGGGGTTCAACTCTTGGCATCTCTAATTATTTTTTATTAATCTATTTTCCAAGATCAAATAAAATTTAAAATGACCTATAGTGGCAAATAGAACAAAATTGGGGATGTAGCTCAATTGGTAGAGCATTTGTCTATGCATGAAAAAGGTATGGGGTTCAACTTATTGGGGATGTAGCTCAACTTGTAGAGCATTTCTCTATGCATGAAAAAGGAATGGGGTTCAACTTCTCGATTCTCCAATTATTACTATTTTTATCAATCTATCTTCCAAAATTAAATAAAATTTAAAATAATTTGAAGTGGCAAACTGAACAAGTAGCTCAACTGGTCAAGCGTTTGTTTATGCTTGAAAAAGGTATGGGGTTCAACTCCTCACATCTCCAATTGTTATATTTTTATTAATCTATCTTACAAGATCAAATAAAATTTAAAATAGGGATGTAGCTCAACTGTTCAACTCCTCGCATCTCCAATTTTATTCTTTTATTAATCTATCTTCCAAGATTAAATAAAACTGAAAATAATTTGTAGTGGAAAATTGAATAAAATTGGGGATGTAGCTCAACTGCTAGAGCGTCTGTCTATGCATGAAAAAGGTACAAGGTCCAACTCTATGCATCTCCAATTATTATTTTTTATTAATATATCTTCCAAGATCAAATAAAATTTAAAATAATTTGTAGTGGAAATCGATCAAAATTGGGGATGTAGATCAACTGCTCAAATCCCCATCTCCAATTATTTTTTTTATTAATCTATCTTCAAAGATCAAATAAAATTTAAAATAATTTGTAGTGGAAATCGATCAAAATTGGGGATGTGGCTCAACTGCTCAAATCCTCGCATCTCCAATTATTATTATTTTATTAATCTATCTTCCAAGATCAAATAAAATTTAAAACAATTTATAGTAGAAATTGAACAAAGTTGGGATGTAGCTCAACTAGTAGAGAGTTTCTCTATGCATGAAAAAGGTACGGGGTTCAACTCCTCGCATCTCCAATTATTATTTTTTATTAACCTATCTTCCAAGATCAAATAAAATTTAAAATAATTTGTAGTGGAAATCGATCAAAATTGGGGATGTAGCTCAACTGCTCAAATCCTCGCATCTCCAATTATTTTTTTATTAATCTATCTTCCAAGATCAAATTAAATTTAAAACAATTTGTAGTGGAAATCGATCAAAATTGGGGATGTAGCTCAACTGCTCAAATCCTCTCATCTCCAATTATTATTATTTTTATTAATCTATCTTCGAAGATTAAATGTAATTTAAAATAATTTGTAGTAACAAATTGAACAAAATTGGGGTTAAAATAATTTGTAGTGGAAAATTGGATGTATCTCAACTAGTAGTGTTCTCCTGGCATCTCCAATCATTGTATTTTATTAATCTATCTTCGAAGATTAAATCTAATTGAAAATAATTTGTAGTGACAAATTGAACAAAATTGGGGATGTAGCTCAACTAGCTCTGGTAGAGTGTTTGTCTATGCATGAAAAAGGTACATGGTTTCAACTCCTCATATCTCTAATTGTTATTATTTTTATTAATATATCTTCAAGATTAAATAAAATTTAAAACAATTTGTAGTGGCAAAAATGAACAAAATTAGGGATGTAGCTCAACTGGTAGAGCGTTTATCTATGCATAGACAATTAAAAGCCTGGGTGACCTGCCTAGGCCAAGCGTGGTTTCTAGGCTTGTAGCTAATTAAACAAGCCCTTAGTTTTACATCAGGGTCCATGAAAAATGATGCACATCGAATTTGAACAAAAATTTAAAATATCCAGATCCTTGAATCTTAAAACTACAACACTGTAACTTTGTAGGGCCTAGCATTCTAGTTTAGAATTTTGGCATGTTATGATATAGAATTATAAGATAATAGGCTCTAAAAGTAGCGTATTAGCTATCATTTGGAACCTTAAACTATTTTTTTTTCTGAGTGTTGATTTAAAGTGTGACCTATAACTGTTTTGTAAATTTATTCTGAAGCTTCAATACTCGTTTTCCCACAACTACAACCTATTCCAATGAAAGAATATAATATGTCTCAAGCTTCATCTTCCTACATCTCCATTACGTCACATACACGATAGACAACGCCACACTTGCAGCTGCTCTCAGGCACAACGACTGGACAAGAATCCTAGACACTGGACGCTATGGCCCATGATTGCCAACTTCTCCAAACAACACGGGCAACAAGACCTCTCAGTCATGAAGATCCATGATCAAGCAATCGTCGTGCCAATCATTAGCCAAACAGCTAGCCCAACATATACTTGCACGCATTTTCTAGAATTTTGTTGTACAATTTGCTATTTTTGTTTGTTTTTTCCTGGATTGAGTTTGCTTCCTAGCTTTTGAGATAATGTCCATTTTATGAATCCACTAGTGCCTCGTTTCAAATTTTGTGGAAATTTTTTAAGGGTCTGTTTGCATAGCTTTTCTAGAAGTGATTCTCCGAGTAGAAGTGATTACATGGTTAGAAGTGATTATATAATAATTCTCTAAGATAAGCTATTTTTTCATAACATAGTGATTCTCTAAGTAGAAGTGGGTTACATGGCTGGAAGTGATTCTCTAGTAATTCTATAAGACAAACTACTTTTTTTCATAACAGAGAGTCACTTCTCATAATGAAGAAGCTATTTTTTTCGGCTCCCAACTCCTACTCAAGAATCAGGATAGAATGACTTAGGAGCTGATTCCTTAAAAAAATTTGCACATTCTCGGCCTTGGAGCCCCAAGAGGAAAATCTCTCTCATTGGTGGGACCATTCGTAAATGAGCCATTAGATCAGTGAAATGAACATAAGCATGTATGGATTATGGACCCGATACTGGGCTTTAGTGGACCTGATTTTGCCAAAATAGCGTGTGATCTTCGATGGGAAGAAGCCCTATTTTGCCAAAATAGCGTGTGATCCCCCTCAACTTCTACTTCCTCCACCCGGTGGAGGGACGGGCTTCTCCCCGTGGAGAACCCCTATTTTTTTCCCCACCTCATTTATTGGCATAGTCTGATTTTCCCCCTCAACTTCTAATTCACCATTTTGCCTTTTACCTCCCTCCCTTTGAACTAACCGATCCAAAGTGGTTTTTCATCCTTTACGTGGAGATACCAACGACACTAAAGTCTCTCGTCCCGGCGCATCGACTCGAGCTGTGAAAGGTTTGTTCTCTATTACGGCCAAAGTGGTTTCACCGTGGCGCCGTCTCGATCATCTCATCGGCTGACCGTGGCGCCTCTTCATCTCTCATCTCTATCATCTCCCAAACCGAGTGATGCGGCTGCTGTTCCCGGTGATGGCAGCGGCGGCGGTGCTGGTTGGAGCGACGCGGGCGTCCGGGTGCTACCCGCGGGTGTATATAGCTTCGGGGACTCGCTAGCGGTCACTGGCAACGTGCGCTTCGTCTACGGCGAAGACTGCGGCAACCCAACGCCACAACTTTAACCCACTGCTCATCCATCCATCGATCAATTAGCTAGATAGAAGTAGGAGCTAGCGGCTCTGATTTTGAGATTTAGAATCTGCAGCGCGCGCTGGGGCTCCCGTTTTTGCGGCTGTACTTCGGCGGGCGGCGCGTCGCGGACTTCGTGCACGGGGCCAACTTCTCTCTAAGGGCGGAGGCTGCGGGCGGGTGAGGGCGGAGGCGCCGACTGCGGGCGAGTGGAGGCGAAGGAGCCTGCGTCAGGGCCCGGCAGTGGCGCCCGCCAGGAGGGAGAGCGATGGAAGTGCGGAGTGACTGGGCGTCACTCCTCCCGGACCTGACGCAACTCATCGCCGCCCGCGTACGGGCGGCGGACGTGGTGGATTACATGTCCTTGCGCGCCGTGTGCGCGAGCTGGCGCGCTTCCACGCCTAGTCCGCGCGACCCTAGCATCCGTGACGCGCGTCTTCGACCGCGCGGCTGGGTCGCGCTATGCGACGGCTGGACGCATGCGAGGTCGCCTTCCTCTGCACCGCCACCGGCAGGTGCGTCCGCGTCCGCCTGCCGGAGCTCCGCGGCCACCGCATCGTCGGCTTCACCGACGGCCTCCTCATCCTGCTCAACAAGGGAACCACCGCCGTCCGCGTCCTGCATCCCTTCACCCGCGTTGCCGTCGACCTCCCGCCCATCGCCCCCATCTTGGACTACATGGTCAAGGACCAGCTGTCCCGCGCCTGGGTGAGAGTCGCCGTGTGAATGTCCCAGAACTCCCCCGATTCCATCGCCGTCGTCGCCTGGTTCCTCAACGCAGCGGGGGTGGTCGTCGCCGAGCCTGGCTCCCCGTGCTGGTATACCGTGCGCCACAGCCTCCAGCTTGCCTCAGCCGTCTCCTTCCAAGGCCGGCTCTATGGCGTCGTCAGAAACAAGATGGCGGTTCTGCAGATCTATCCTCAATGCCTGGGCCCTTGCATTGCTCTTATCCCAAGATTGGACATGCCTCAAGACTATTCCTTCTTCCTCCTGCCTGGTGCATGTTATCCGCCACTTTTCCCATGACAATCCCACTAAGGGCTTGTTCGGTAAGGGTGAAATCCATCCGGAATTGTTCCATTTAATAATATGCTATATAAATTAACAAAGCAATCTCGGTAGGAATAAATCCAGGTCATGAATCCCTAAGAAACGAACGCAGCCGGACCAGGTTTCGTTCCTGGCCAGTTGTACACCAGTTTTCAATACGGACGGCTCCGTTCCACCCGGAACGACCGCCGGAACGGCCCGTTCCCAAAGAAACGAACGGAGCCTAAGGGATATGGACCTCGCCGGTTTGCGTTGTTTGAGGTTGGCACGGCTGAGCAGAGGGGGCTTGCTCCGTTGAGCAGCCTTGGTGATCGAGCTCTGTTTCTCGGCCTTGACCGCTGCCTCTCTGTGTCTGCAAACAACCTGCCTTCCATCAGCGGTGATGCCATTTACTTCTACTCTGAAGATCTCTATCCTCTTCTTATGTACTCTGTCAGCAGCAGCACATGCGAGAAATTATCAACGCTATCCATCATATATGACGGCAGAAAGAGGATCCGACCCTCTGTGCGGCCCTTCACACTAGCAGATCATCTGTTCACCTTTTGCAGCCATTGTTGGTGGTAGGTTCTTGAGCCTCAGTAACTGTCACATGAATTGTTTGGGACACTCTAATGTGCTAACTGATCTGTGCTTTCTCATTGTTTGTATAACTTTAATGTTCTAATTTCTCTTGCTGTAGGTCAAGGGGACTCATGTTTCATGAATACCACTACATACCTACATCTTGGAAGTATTTGTCCAAGAAACACAAAGCCCAAGACTGCGAAGTTCAGTTTCCAAGCTCAAGAGGTTTGAGCTGTTAGAAATAAGAGCTCCTTTCACCGAGAATAACTGCCCTAGCCTGGCACTACCTAGATCTTTGAATAAGTTGTCCAAGAAACAGAAAGCCCAAGACTACGAAGTTCAGGGTCAGGTTCCAAGCTGCATAAGTTTTAGCTGCAGGATTAAGTCTGTTACAGATAAGGGCTCCTTTTGCCGAGAATAACTGCCCTGCCCTTCTGCAGTTGGCACAACTCGGTGATGATTAAAATCCACACTGAAAATGTGGCCTCAGCCCAGCCTCTTCGATTTGTTAGTTCTTTTTCATGTTTATTTATTACTACAATTTATATAAAGATTGAATATAAACAATGATGCACTGATTTCCTCCTGAAGTAGGTTTCAAGCTACTGATGCAATGACATTCTGGCTTTCTGCTATATCTATCTATCAGTTTTAGTCCTTTCGATCATTCAGTTTCAATTATTTGATTTTCTTTAATTCACTTGCTAGTTCTTATATAGTTTCAAGATGTTTCTTAATTTTTTGAGAAACTGTTGTCTTCTCTTACCTGATTTTTCCTTCCCCGTCGATACAGAGCGGAAGAAATAATTGCGGACCTTCATGGATTCGAAGCTATTAGGCTAAAGAAGATAGGATTTGCGTTTATACGCCACCCAGGTCTTTCCTTATAAGTAAATGTTGTGAATCCCATGAGTTCATTTTGGGGACTGTGTTTTTAGTTTGGTTGTATATGTTCTGTGCGTCCACAGTTATCTTACATGACTCAATCATATCCACGAAGATCTGTGGAGACAGAAAAATCAGGTATGGAGAAATTAGGGCGGAAGAATTGATGATTCATAAAAATTGCTGCTGGTGAAATTTAAACTAGACTTTCACTTTCCATGTTGTTTTGATCCTAGAAATCTAAACTAGATTTTCAAGTCTTGATGGTTTCTCTTCTTTACATTGGCTTTGGGAGATTGATCTGTGTCATGGAAAAAGTTGATGTGCACAAGGAGTTAGTCACAGCTCATAATGGCAAGATGATGACGGCTTGCTAGAAGGCCTGATGTTGTGTTGTTTTGCCAGCGTACCTTTGTTACAGGTTTACAGCATTTTTTTTTCCTGATGATTTTACGCATGTAGGAGGCTCTTGTACCAAGCTGCTTCGAAATGAACTAGCGGTTTGCCCCTTGAACTGGAGATGCCCTCCAAATTTTGCAGCACAGTTGTGCCGATGCAGTTTCTTGGAGCAATACAAACGGACAAAACAGAGAACGCGTCGGTGTGTCTCACGCACGCGCGTTAGCGGCTTCACGGACGTGGTAATCAGTGTGTCATGTTCCCCAAATATTTGCATGTTGCTATGGAGTACTTGTATCCAAATCTTGAGGATTTAGTTCCACAAAATAGAGCAATCCGGCTTGTCTAAATAAAGGGTGAGTTCATGTTAGATTTGTATTGAGCACTTTAAGGCCCTCCTGTTTGGATTCAAGGGTTTAAAGATTAGCCCTCCATTTTAGCTATCTTTTAGCCCTTGAGATCCAAACAGAAGGGCTAAATGGAGGGGCTAATCTTTAGCCCTCCATTAGCCCTTGCAAGGTAGACTAAAGATGGCTAAAAGTGCTAACATGAGATTTTACTCTTTTTCTTTCTCCTCTCTCTTTCACCTTTTAGCCATCTTTTAGTCATGTATCAAACAAGCCAAGAGGCTAAACTTTAGTCTCTTCATTTCAAGGGCTAATCTTTAGTCTTAGGCTAAAGTTTAGCCCAGGGGATCAAACAGGGCTAAGAAACCACCCAAACAGCCATACGAAGAAGCACCGTTTGTCAACTTGGGCAATTAGGGCTACTCCCTGCCTGACAAAGACATGCAAAACGCACTACCGAAATCCAAAGCATCAACTGGGGAGGACTCCCACGAATCTTTACACTCAGTTACATTGATACTGACCTGTCTCTGTCTGCGGCGCTGCAAGATGCTAATTGCCCAAGCCATAATGTACTTAGAATGATAGCAGGAAACCAGCAGCACGCAGTAGAAAAAGCTGACAATTATGAACCATCAACAATAGTTCAATACCAAGTGTTAATGGCCACGGCTAACAAGAGGATGCTAATAGTACATTTCATGAAAGGCTAATAGTACATTTCATGAAAGATCCTTCGCTTACTGAAAACATTGCAGAAGTATCATCATCATCTTCATCAGTTAGAATTGATCAGTGCGTGTCTCAACAAGAGAGCCATTAACTGAACATAAAAGGTAAATGGATGTTATGAATAAAACCGCGCCTCTGCCCCACCCGGCGGCAGGGGTTGACGCCACGGCACCTCTGCCCCGCCCGACGGCAGGGGTCACCGTCACATATCCATTTTTCCGCCTGGCGGCCGCCGGCCGGGTCACTACCGCCACACCATTGCCCTGTCCAGCGGAGGACGACTCCCCGCGCCCTTTAGGGCAATCTATATTCCAAGATTAAATCAAATTTAAAATAATTTGTAGTGGCAAATTGAATAAAATTGGGGATGTAGTTCAACTAGTAGAGCGTTTGTCTACTACGTATGAAAAAGCTACAGGTTCGACTCCTTGAATCTCCAATTTTTGTTTTTTTATTAATCTATCTTTCAAGATTAAATCAAATTTAAAATAACTTGTAGTGGCAATTTGAACAAAATTGGGGATGTAGCTCAACTAGTAGAGCGTTTGTCTATGCATAAAAAAGGTACGGGGCTCAAACTCCTTACATCTCTAATTATTATTTTTTATTAATCTATCTTCCAAATTTAAATAAAATTTAAAATAATCTATAGTGGTAAATTGAACAAAATTGGGGATTTATCCCAACTAGTTGAGTGTTTATCTATGCATGAAAAAGGTACGGGGTTCAACTCCTCTTGTCTCCGATTATTATTATTATTTACTAATCTATCTTCCAAGATTAAATAAAATTAAAAATAATTTGTAGTGGAAAATTGAATAAAATTAGGGATGTAGCTCAACTAGATAGTAGAGCGTTTGTCTATCTCCAATTCTCCAGGTCTGACTGTAATAGGCCCTTTTTTCTCTACTCTAAGCCCATTAAAACCTAGAGACACAAAGTTAATTATTTTTTTCGATGTTACACAATCATCTTGCCTGAGCACTATCCACCAACTTTCGTCGCCGTCGCCGACCTTTTGACTCTAGCGCTCAAAGGACCCGACTTCTTGAGGGACGGCAACGAATCCTTCGATTTGGGGCCTTTGCCGTGCGGAAGGATCCCCGCTAGCCTAGAGGGGGGTGAATAGGCCTAGAAAAATCTTCAACAATAACTCAACACAGCAGTTCAGTAACTGTCGGTAGTGTCGACGTTAATCGGTAGTACCGATGCCAAGCGTCGGTAGTATTGACCCCTATAGGAGAGCTACGAAAATTGATATCAATCAACTTCAAATTTAGATCTACGAATTACCCCACTTCCTTATGGATAGATGAAGCTGTCCAAGTACCCCCTTGACCTTGGAGCGCCACCAATTTGTAGATCGGGACCAAAACCTAAGAAATAGCTTGAGAGAGAGACAACAAAAAACAAGTAATTTCAAGTAATCACAACAACCAGCACGCAGAATACAAATATTTATCCCGAGGTTCAGCTCGCCACTAAGGCTTGCCTATGTCCTCGTTGTTGAGGTGACCACTAAGGTCAGAGTCTATTTCACCTCCTTGCCTCTCTCAAGCAACCACAAAGGTAAACTTGAGTTCTTCACTAGAAAATCGAGGGTGACACAAACTTTCCAAGGTGATCCCATAGATCAGGAGCTCTTGGGCAATACCTAGCTGGCTAGGGGCAAAGCCCCAAGAGTAACAAACGCAAATTCAACCGGCTTGACGAAGAAATCAAGTGCTCAAGCTTTGAATCTATGTTTCTCTCACCGAATCCCTTCTCTCAACTCAATCTCTTCCAAGATTTGAAGCTATGAGCAAAGGGGAGAGCTTTATGTTGGTCGAGTGGAATGAGTGGAGTAACGGTTAGAATGGGTGCGGGTTGATATTTATACCCCAAGGAAAAATGACCGTTCAGAGCAACGTCGGTACTACCGGTTAGCGCTGGTACTACCGATGCTAGGCGTGGCTAAGAACCAAAGTCTGTCGGTACTACCGGTTAGCACCAGTACTACCGATGGTGGACAAGGTAGAGAAACAGGGCTCGTCGGTACTACCGGTTAGCGCCAGTACTACCGACAGTGGGTGCGCCAATCAGAAGACGACGCCAGGTACCGGTACTACCGACCCGAGTCGGTACTACCGACAGAGAGAAAAAACTAAGCCCTATTCCTAAATGCTCGTGAGTGATAGTGTCTCTCAATTGATTTTAATTTTATACTTGAACACTCTATCTTTTTCAGACTACCTAGATTTGCATCCTCTTTATAGTGCGGCATATCCTAAACTCAATATCAAATATGAGAGAATTTGAACGCTTTTGAGTAGGTTGCCATGTCCTTTTGTAATTGGGGACTCCACCATCATATGTATTATCCTCCTTTTTATTTTACTTGTTTATCAACTTGATAAATCGCATTAGTTCTCTAATCGTGTGGTCATTATCACCAAAACCCACAATCAAGGCTTGATTGCACTTACACCGTGCTCGACGGGGGTCCACACCACCAAGCCTCTGCCCCACCCAGTGGCAGGGGTCGACGTTACCGCACCTCTTGTAGGGTCGAGATGGCGGACTAGAGGGGGTGAATAGTCTTTCTAAAATTAATCGCGCCGGCTAACCGAAACAAATATAGAATTAAAACTATCGGTCTAGCCAAGACTACACCCCTCTTTCTATGTTCACAAGCATCTTACAAAGATCCTAATTAGACAACAAAGGTGCCGGGCTAGCTAGAGCTCACCTAATCAATTCTAGAGCAAGGTCACACAAACCTATGTACTAGTACTTT